TTCTGCTATCCATGACCCTGCTTTCCTAACTTTCAGAAGATCCAGTCCCAGAAAGGTCAGGAACCATCATCAGCTCTACCTTTGAGAATTGAAGTCCTTATCCTGGATGTCCACCAACCTGTAAACTCCCCAAGGGCATGGAAAAAAGTACCAGCTAACACAGTCGTTCTCAGCCCGGACAATCTGCTCTCCAAAAGACACTTGCCAGTGTCTGGAGACATTTTTACTTGTCACAACTGGCCAGGGATGCTGCTACACATCCTACATGCACAGAGCAGCTTCCCATAACCAAGAATTATCTGACCCACAGTAAAAATAATGCCAAGTTTGAGAAACCCATGTTAAGACCACAAAGCCTAGTGCAGCTCAAGGAATATTTAATATAGCCATCCTTATTTTATGTGGCCTGAAGATTTCCTTCAATTTCAATGTTGATATCTAAATTCTACTTTGACTTGTATGTTTGTCCTTGTTTGATCTCATTATGATTTGGTACTCACCTAGGATTTAATCTCCTTTTAAACAAATTTTACCTGTACTTCAAGGTCTACGAGACATCCCTATTTCCTCGAAGTTAGAAAAAGGTCTCCTCCTCTTCAGAAATCCTTTTTTATGATGCCTACCTTATTCACCCTTGTGATGTCACCCAGTATGTTCAGGTCTCACTCCATGAAGTGTGAGAACCCGAGTGGATACAGGTTATATATAGCAGGCCTATCTCTAGACCCCTTTTTTGGCCCTCAATAAATGTTTGTTAAAGAAATGATTAGATATCAGAAGCAAACAGCCTCAATTCCACTTAACACCTCATGTTCATCACCTTTTCTAAGTTACAATTTGGTCAAGAAACTTCTGAGTGAAAGTAACAACTCAACCTTAACGGAGATGCTCAACCGGGGTAGTTCTCTACTGCAACCATTTCTCTGAGACCCTTCGCCATGAATCATTGAGTTAAAACTGGTCACATGGAACCTTAGGTGTATAGATTGGAGTCCAGAGACTTTTTAAATATGACTCCATAACCTCAAAAATGCTTAAAACCTTATGATATGGATAATAGAACTAAAGTAAGCTATTGAAAATGTTATCAGAAAGAACAAAGAACTATACCAAAGAAGAAGAAGGGGGACTCTAGGACCTGCAGAAAAGTCTGAACTCCCTACCTTCCTCTGCAAAATGGGCCAGGAGAATGTGATGGTCCCACATCCACACCTCAGTTCAGCCTGGCTGAGTCTGCTCAGTGGACATGTTAGCCATATTTTCTGATGCTCTGATCTGGGGGGCTTTACTGATTCTGGAGCGACTTCCCTTCCAGGGAAGGGATGGTGGAATAACCAATTTCTAGAGATGGAATAAAAGCCCACCAAAACCACATTTTTCAAATATGAAATCAGCAGATTTAGAACCCGCACCATACCATCACCTTCTCTCCTGGTGGCTCACACTCTGGGCCATTATCCACCAGTATCTTATTCACTTTAGGGCCAGCTGCCACACAACTACATATAGCCCCTATGCCTCAGGTCCTGCCAATGTTAGTCAAGCTAGGCAAATCTAGGCCTGGTTGTGTTGCCTCATCTGTTTGCTGTGGAAACACAATGAAGGCGCTGCTCCATGTTTTCTTCCTACTCGCTCTGGCCGTGGACCAACTCCTATGCTCCCCTGTGTGGCCCTGTGTAGCACATCCCTTGTGTTGTCAACTGTGAGTAACAAACTGTCTTTGTAGTGGTGGTGTCTCCTGGTCTGTGGGCCTTTATTCTATATTTTATTTTCCATCAATACACTGTATTTTAAAACAGCAGGGATAAGGAGGAGCCAGGTACAGACATTAAGCCCATTGAATCTTGATGTTCAGATAGGAGCAGGAGATTGGGGCTTGTGTCCTTCGCGGAACCCAGTACCTCCACTACATCCGTGCCTCTGATGGTGGTGCATGTCGGGTTGTGGTTAGGGCCCAGGTTGAGAGATCACATGTGCATAGTAGGAGAAGAAGTAATTAGGACAATTTGGGGGCACTGTGTGTAGGAGGCCAACCAAAACCACCAACTGAGCATGGGAAAGAAAGGCAGTGCCACCCCTTAGACTGAGGGAGAGGGATGCTGCGGTTCCTGGCTCTTGCCTATGCCCCCAGATTTAGGGAGGAGGGACAGACTCAGGTTCCAGAGGAGGAGGGTGAGTTCTTTGCTTTGAGCAGTTTCACTGACCTCTCTTCCCCTTTCTTTTGTTCTTTATATATCTGTTCCTAAATACTACCCACATTCTTTCCTTTACTTTATATTTCTATGACACTGCAGTTTTCTCATCCCTACAGTCTTTTCCCTTCCCTCCCCTAACCTATGGACAGGTAAACTATAGCATCAGATTGAGCCTCATGATACTACTAGGGCTCTGGGATGTTGCCCCACTCAGGTTTGCTGAGAATCATATATGTGTATGTCCTCATTGTCCATGAAGCCTAGCTCAGCTTGTGGTTGAGAAGCTATATGGAAGCTAAACCCTCATTCTCTCCTGCTTTCACTCCACTTGACTCTCATTATGGGATCTTTTTGCACCTACTCTTTATAGGGAGCATGTGGTCCCTGAGGGCCAGTACTATCCTCTGCTTGATCCTTTGAGTCCTGCCTCTGGGATTTCCACAGCTCCTGGCTCCACAGCTAATCGTTCGGTACTGTCTCCCAGTCCAGGGGACCCTGCCCACCACCCCTTTCTCCAGAGGAAAAGCTCAACACTTGAGTCCCGATCCTAACTTAGGACTGTCCTGCTCAAACACTGGCTTTCTTTGATTTATCTCCACAGACCCTCTGGGCAAATTCATTGCTTATTCACGTGTATTTCCATAGGTTTGATGCTGGCTCTCATTCTCTCTCACAAGGACTATTCCCCAAACCTCCATACTGATCATCAGCCTCTCTCCCCACTTCCTCTGCCCCTAAAAGTGCCTGGGGTTGGCTATGGGAATGATGAGCTGTTTTCACTCAAATCACATGCAATAATATTAAATCATCCCCTGCCCTGTCCTCAGTGTTTCCAGTCTTACTTAGTCCTCATGGCAACCCATATTACAGCTGAGGAGAAGAAGCCATGGGGTCATATGATGGACACTCAGGCCCTTGTCCCTGCTCTGGTGTTCCTTCTGCTAGATCCCCATGCTACCTCAGCACACAGCACCCACTATCTCCACTATATCCATCTACACAGAACTACTAGTGTCACTATTCAAGATCACATTCAATAATGATATCATCAGGACATTCTGGAAGTAATCAACTTTCTCCACTTGTACAAGACCACCAAGGTGACTCTTTTCTCCTTGCAGAATTGGGGACGACATCGGAGGGAAGCGTCAGTCTCTTGACAGTTGCAGTAGCTCTCACACAAGGTCCTCAAGATCTATGGGAGCCTAGTGAATTTTCATGGAAAGTAAGGAATGCAGGGGAGTTTGGAGGGATTCCTCTTATCTATGTGAATGCCTCCATGTTAGAAGAAATGGGGACAACATGGATGATTCCAAATATAGATGCCCTGGAATCATCCCTTACTTTTTATTTCAATATTATGGAAACATATGTAGTCATATATTTATTTATGATAGGCTTATTTGTTGTAGGAAAATAAAAAAAAATTAGAAGCCATTTTAAAAGCTATCTTGTTCGGTATTTCAGTGAATAACTCCATGTGAGTTCTTGCTTTATATAGTTATAGTTCATACCCACTAATAATTCATCCTCAACCTACAGATCACATTATCAGACTCAAAACTCAGAAGTGGACAGAGACTGTCCAGCCTGTAGATCAGCATTGGGAATTATCCTCTTCCTGTGATCTAATCCTGCTGGCTACTGCAGCCAACTTTACCATGCCTAATGGAAAGCAAGAAGCTAGAGTCAAATATAAATCACCCAACAATCAGGAATGGACTATAAAACTTTATGTAGACATTCATAAAGGTTAGACAGTGTGAAGTATTATTTTTCTTTTGATAATACTTATTAAAGTGAGCGGATAATAGTTTCTAACAGATTCATCTGGCAAGCATTTGACACTAAACAGCAAGCATCAGTGAGGTTTACTGTCCCAGTAGTGACCAACACCAAGCCACTAGAAGCATGCTGTTTACTTCCTAATACATCACCTCTATCCAAGCACTTGCTATTTTCTCCATAAAATAAAAATATTTAAATTACAGCTATTTACCAGATCTCTACTTAAGAGTTCTAACATTAAAAACATTGACTGAATGAACATGAAAAGAGAGATTTATCAACATAAATGACCAAATTACTCTCTATGAAAAATTAAGGTTAAACAACAAACTGAAGGAAATTAGAAAATCGTTCAGACAACTCTGGGGGAAAAAAAAAGAAAGATACAAGGACATAAAAATGGTCATAGAAATTGATAACAAAATCATTAAACTCCCAAAAAGTAAATGGAAAAAAAAAAGACATGAAGAGATAATTAACCAGGAAGAAATCTAAGGGATTCATGAGCACAGGAAAAAAAAAATCTTTAGTCTTTTATTATCCGAAATGAAAGTAAAACACAGCAACTGTCTTTTACCCTCTCACACTGACAGAACTCTTTCTTAAAATATAGTGTTTGGTAAATCAGAACTCTGATTTACTGTTGCTGAAAACTGTATTATTGGCACAACTTCTGGATAAGGCACTTCATACACCAGGAGGCCATTTCTTGTCCTGTCTTGATCTGGGCCTGCCAGCCATACTCTTTCCCTACCAATGCCACCACAATCAGGGTATGGTCCTTCTCAAGAAGGAAGCAAACTATCTTAGGGAAAGAATCTGGGAATTGACATCCCTTTGACTTACTAATCGTGTTTTTTAAACATACCCTTTAATGTCCCAATGCCTTCACCTCTTCCTGTATGTCATGAGGTATATTAATTGGATCAAGCTATCTCTAAAGCATCTCCAGTTATTACACTGCATCATGCTGTTGATTGATAGGAATCAAATAAACAACAGAGAAGCTCCACATACCTATTCCTAATGTGCTGAGGGGAGCCGAGACACTGGAAGCAGCCGTTAACCATTATGGCCAGTCTGGTGCAAAGAGCTTCACACTCTTCCATGCTGGGAAAAAAAGAAAAAGAAAAGTAAAGGTGAGCCACACTTGAAAGAAAAAAGGCTTGATTCAAACTTTAAAAGTAAAAAGTGGACAAAAACACTATTACTGCAAATTATGTAATTCTTAAAATATAGACACCTCATGAAAACCAAACAAAATACTTTTAAGTATCATAAGATTTATTTAGGTAGCCAATAATATAATTTTAAAAAATTACTAGCATTTTCATGTACCACGAAAAATAGTAATAAAATAGGAAAGAACCATTTACCAATAGTACAAAATTACAAAATAAAAACAATCTTAACAAAAAAGATGTTTTATGAAGAGAAAAAATAAAGCTTTACTAACAGACATAAATAAAACCTTGACTCAATGAAAAAGAATGGCTATTTTAAAAATGAAGGAACCTTACAATATAAAAATCAGTAAAATGTAAAACAATACTAGCATAATATTAGTGTAAATATAAAATATAATACTAATATAGTATGAAAGTAAGCTCATTATATTTAAATATAAATATAAGTGTATAACAAAATATAATGCTGTAATAATATGTAATATACAATTATGTTAGGTTATAGTAAAATTGAATATTATTTTATCATGAATAAGTTATGTAATTATAAAATATAATTTTAAATCTTCATAAGTTACAAGCTGTGATATGGATGCATTATAATGTCAATCAAAATTTTATCTCTCTCCTTAGAAAAATTGAAAATAATTATAAAGTGTTTCTCCAAAATAAAAATATTGAAAGAATTATGAGGAAAAGTGTTCCAGAAAACATTAATATTTGTTACACTGCTAAAATAAATTGAATAAGGTAATAAACTCAAAAATTATAAGGCCAATGGCATTAAAACAAAAGAGAGCCAAAATGAGCCACTAAAGCATGAAATGCACACATGATTTGAGGATGGGAGCATCTGTGTGAACACTACAGCAATGGTGGAAACTGAGGGGGCCTTTGATGTATGTGGCAATGCAAAATCCCAAACTTCTAATAAGATGTCAGAAGACAGCAAACTGTCTTAAGAACAGAAACAAACAGGAGCTGGGGTGCAGCTTAGTGGTAGAAGATTTGCTAGCATGCATGAAGTCCAGGTTTCAAGCACTACCAAAAAAAAAAAAAAAAATTAAAAGAAAAATTGCCACAAACATAACAGGTAAGGGTTGATAGCCTTAAAATAAAAAGTCATATGTTAGTTTAAAAAAAAAAAATCCAATGTATAAAAAGAAAAATATCATGTGGAAATGATTTTCACAACTATTCATGGCCAATAATGTAGCAACAAATCATAAACTTAACCATTAAATCAAATGTTCTTAAAACTGTTTTCTAGCTAGAAAGGCATTCATCATGCATGCTTTTCTATGTTTAAGGATGAAAGTGTTTTTGTTCTCCATTGCATTTCAAATAAAAACAATGAGTTCTAGGATTAGAAAAATCCTAGTTAAAGATATTCTCAGTAATTCTAAATAGGTCACCTCATATGCTGAGGTTGGAAGTAAAAATAGGCATAACTTTTTGAAAATCCATATGGAAATAAATCCTTTTCTATGAACTTGCCCCAGGAAACACAAAATATGAACATATGGCAATTTATTTATAGTAAAAATCTAGAAAAAAATACATGCTCTATAGTGAGATTTGTTATTTATTTCATGTAAACGAAAGATCATTCTGTGTGTTAGACATTAAAATGAAGTTCTCTAAAGTCAATGAATTTCATGAGTAAAGATTGATACTTTAATGGCAAAATTACAATGCATATGAGGAGCATTGCACATGTATGTGAAAGAGTTTTTCTTTCTAGAAAGAAAAAAATTGTAATATTCATAGAAAAAAGTATGGATATTACTGAGAAGTGAAAAGTTAATGGTAGATCATCTTTATTTCTTCTTTCTTTCCAATTTGGTATTATCCAAATTCTCTACAGGAAGCATGTGTTATTTCCATTGTTAGGCAGCAACTATAAAGCAATCTCTGATAGGATCCATGGATGTTCAGATCAAGACTATTTCATAGTTCTCTTACAGTTACATGTGGGCACACAGAAAATTCAGGTCAACAGAATGTGTATTTCTGGGTCATCTTGAAACAACACAAGCCACTTGACCTGGGTATTGTCTTTTTCCACATCCCTTAAGTTGGGATGCAGACACAGTGCTGTGAGTCAATGTCAACCATGAGGACAAGGACAACTGGAAGATGGCTAAATGGCATGGCAGAAAGGTCATGATTTCTTGGTTGGCCTTATAAAGCACAGCTCACCAGCAACTTAACAAAGTAAGGGGGAAATGTGTCTTGCCTGGGCCACTATAATTTGAAGTTTCTTTGTTATACTTGACATAAAATCTAAGGAATATGTACTATAAACATTCCAAATATGCTTTACAATTTTTTTTTCTGGTCAATTATAGCTTTCTCTGTTTCTTTAATGAATTTTAATTTAAAACATTTTATCATTTTTATGACCATGTTGCAGGTTGACTATGAAGTCACTTTTGTATTACTTCCTTAAACATAATTTGGAGATGTAGGAGTCCAAATAATACCAAATATGAATTAAATTCTCGTAATAGGACTTGGGTCATAGCTTAGTGGTACAGCGCTTGCCTGGCATGTGTGAGGAACCGGGCTCCATCCTCAGCACTATATAAAAATAAATAAATAAAGGTATTGTGTCCATCTACAACTAAAAATATTTAAAAAGTAAATCCTCATGATATTAAATGACTAACAGTTTCAACTGAGTTATTATTGACTAACTAACAAATATCCTCTAAACATGTTGGATATCATAACATCTAAGCATAGAGGACAAAGATAGAGATTTTGATGATCTTCTACAGTAAGAAGAATACACAAAACTGTTCAACAATGAAAGCAATCATTGGTCATTTACTCAAAAACAAACAAACAAAAATAACCCATCAAATTGTTTTCCTTAATGATTCGTTAGGTTGATTAGTACTGAAATATGTCTAGGTGATGCAAAGACTTGTGTCCTTCATTTATCAGTGTTTGACATGTGAGGAAAAACCAAAGTGGTTGTTCCTGTTTGGACTGATTTCCATTCCTTTTAGTAAGTGACATGGCTCCCAGTTTCTTATCCCATGCTTCCCAAGAGGCTCAGGAGTAAGGAACAAGAGGCACTAAGAGGTGAACTCAAAGTTAAGAGGAAAGCTTTCCCACCGAGATACTTCTTTTCAACTAAAGCTGTCATTTTAGAATCACAGAATCAATCATAGGCTTCTCTATTCTTCACTTTCAGTGAGTAATTTAGATCTTTGTATTGTATGAATAGCAACAAATTTATAGAAATAAATTTGTGTATATGCATATGTATGTCATTAATGTGAAACCAAGTGAATAGGAGGAGGATATAAAAGAGAAACAACAGTAATACATACCTGTTTTGAGAACAGTCTACAATAATTATGTGTTATATAAGAAATAAAAATAATTTCATCTTTTTATTAGAAAGTTAAAATTCTTAGAACCTGTGCTTGAACATCAAGACTCAGCTTCATGCCAGCAAACGAAGATAGCAAAGCGGAGCTCAGAATTAGCAGAGCAAATGGTCATTTTAAGCAAGAAAATTTACATATTTTTTTTAAAAAGTAGATTTATCAAGTTTAATTCATTTTAATATAAATTTTTTTCTGAAGAGAAATAGAACAAAAACAAAACAAAACAAAAAAAGAAGTAGCAATTCTGACTGTGCACAAGTGAAGAAACTGTCAAATCCATTCCATGAAAAGCAACTATAATACTAGACAAAATTTCAGAACAACCCTTTCAGAACATTGGGAATTGACTGAAGGCAAGCAGCAATATGAGAAGCAGTTATGTCCAACAAATTGCTAAACTTAGAATAAGAAGAATTTGTGGCAGGCAAACCATGGGCTACTGAGTTCCCTCCCCAGCTTAAACATGAAGCAGGAAAGGGTGGGCCATGAGTATCAGCAGCTTCTGCCATGGCTGAAGGGCAGGGACTCAGTTTGGAGTATTGAGTGCAACACCAATGCCCAGTAACATAGCTGGTTTATATGACTATATTGGATCCAAGCATTCAGGAATGGCCAGCACCTCTAGTACCTGGGAGATGGCCTCCCAGGTACTAGAATTTTTGTGTCTGTGACATGCTTACAACCAATTGAGACCCTAGTGTGTGCAGTAGACACTGGAGATGGCCCTGGCTTTCCACATACTGCCTCTCAACCCAGAGGCTATTGCATACATATAGGAGAGGCACAGAAGGACCCAAGGAAACTGACATGTTCAAGTTGGCACAAACTTATAATTTTCCTGGCTATCAACACAGAGAACGTTTGGCAGAGGACAGAATGTCTGTATTGTGTCAACCTGAGGTGGGTGAGAACTACCTCTGGTCAGTCACAGGATATCAAGGAACCTAGGCAAAAACAGAGGTGACTGTTATACAGCCAGTCTTGAAAAATTAAAAGTAATTTTAAACACGAAATCTGAGCAGAGAAATCAGCTGCTACTCACTGCAGGAGTAAGATTTTTTTCATAGACTTATCCCAGGCAAAGAAATCCAACAAATAAGTATTTAAAAAATGAAAGCTGACAATAGAGCAACTTTGGGAGTAGTTAAGAAAGTCAGAGCAGCTACATTATCTAAAATGTCTAGTTTTCAATAAAAATGTAGGCACGCAAAGAACAGGAAGTGATCCATATTCAGGGGTGTAAAACAAAAGCAGTCAATATAAATTTCTTGAACTCTTCCTCAATGTTAGAGTTAGGAGGAAAATTATCCAATGCAGAGAAAATATATATGTTCAAAGAACTAAAGGAATTGCTATTTAAAGAATTAAAGGACATATGACAATAAATGCAAGCAAATACAGATTCTAAAGAAAATGAAAGTTATCAAAAGAATCAAAAAGAAACCTTTCAGGTGAAAAGTTCAGTAAATACAATGAAAAATTTGCTAAAGAGAATAACATCAGATTCAAGATGGCAGAA